AGGTGGGAATTGATCTTCAACTAAAACCAAAAAAATGTGGCAACAGTGGAAAATCAATTCTTGGAAAAAAAGTGCCATCAAATATGGTAAAAGTGGAAAATGCATGGAAAAAAGGACATATCAAACAGGTTCTAAAGCTTCTATCACATAATTCACTGAATTCAAGAACATGTCAATGTATTTCGTTTTTAAATAATTTTGTCATTTTATTGTGAAATTCTTCTCAATCTAATGACATGCGCATGTGGCTAACGTTGTTTTGTATAATAAAATTTACGCCATGGGACAAGTCTTGAAAAAGAAAATCATGAACATGTACATTATTTTTTATATCATTGTTTATAATGTATCACATGACAAAATATTATTGGACAGTTTTAAAAAAAAAAATTTCTATCCATAATTTTTTGAAAACAAAGGAGACGTCAAAGTTGATGTATATTTAGCATTATTGATATCAATTTTGCTACATGTACATCTTTTTTTACATCCCAATTTATCGAATTTACATGACACAATCTCACACCACCTTTCACATTCCACACATTTAATACAACCATCATCTATATACCACATCATTCATCGATAAAGCAAGTGGTAAAGGACGTGGTACAAATAACTTAACTCTTATTGATATAAAAAAGGTGAGCGTACTTTTGTTTACTAAGGTACTATTTTCTTATTTCAGTCCTACCACTGTTCAAACCGTAAAAAAAAGTTAAAAAAGTGGAAATTACAGAAAAAACAGGCATTTAATTTTTCAAATTCAAAAATCAGATCTTAAGTTTATTTAATAAAAAGTCAGGTATTAATTGACTTTATAATTAAAACCCTAATTTATTTTCATTCCCCTATCTCACTCTTCTCTCTCTAAACACACTGGGTTTCAAATATTTTCCCCATTCTCTTTCTAAACCCACCCAATCACCTCCCTCAATTCTCTCTCACCTTCGTGTCGCCGTTGCCCCTGCCTCTTTCGACCATGAACCCCTCATCTTTTCGTTACTACCGCCCGTCGTCGTTACCCAACCCCATCACCACCGTCAATCAATATCGTCGGCCATGAGGTTCAATCACGACGGTGAAACTGTACGCGACATGACAAAAGCTTCAATCACTCCTCACCTTTCTGTCGCTGCCATCCGTTGTTATCGCCCAACCCCATAACCACCCTCAATCCATTTCACCCCAGAAGGAGCATGAATTGCCGTGAGTTGCGACGCAGATCCACCCATTCTGGCGACTCTTCGCAGCCGAAGCACAATGACGTTGCGTTGTTGTGCCGACGATGTTTTGTGTGGTGGCGGTATTTTTTGTGGTGTCGGGGTTTGTGGTGGTAGATCTGACGATTTTTGTAGCAGTGGCTGTGGTGGTGGACCGGCGGTTGGGGTGGTGTGGTGGTGGTTTTGTAGTGAAATTGGTGGTTGTGGTGGTGAGGAGGAGGCGATGGTGGTGATGAAGAGATGGAGAGTACGATGTTCCTACTGGTTGTCGTGAGGTGGTGGTGGTTCTAGAAACGGTGGTTTAGCGGCAGTGGTGGTGGTTTTAGCGCGCCGGAGGCGGTGGTACTGCCGGAGGTCGCAAGTGTTGGTGGTGGTTAAGCAGTGGTGGTTCTGGCAACGGTGGTTTGACGACAGTGGTGGTGGTTCTGGCACGCCGAAGGCGGTGGTGTTGTCGGAGGTCACAAGTGTTGGTTAGGGGTGGGCGCGGGTCGGTTCGGTTTTTTTCGGTTCCAGAAATTTTCGATTCTTTAGTAAATGGAACTGTCGGTTCCAAATATAATTTTGGAACCGTTCGGGTTCGGTTCGGTTCGGTTCGGTTCGATTCTGTACTACAATTAAATTTTTTAATAT